TGACCTCGTGCACTTAGCTAGGATTTGTTTGTAAACAACTTAGTACGTATGCTATTTAATTAAGGTTTATGTCACCGTTTCCTTATGCATTAATCGAGTTTTTCTTTCTTTCTCTCTCTCTCAAGTGATTGGCTGTTGTTTGATATCCCCGGTGTGGCTGCGCTTGATGTGCATGTTGACAAGGTGCCTACCTGTCTATTACCCACTACGTCGTCCATACTGGCTCCAGGAGACAGTTGGTCGTTGCTGGAGGGGACGGGGTGCACAGTCCTTGTGGCCGTGTTAGGCTCGAAGAGTGGTTCCATGCAGTCAGTGTGGAGCGGACTACGGTCCAGCCACCGCCTTGTGTGTGCTTGATTCCCAACTACAGTGTGCTTGTGTTTGCCTGTGAAGGAGTGTGGGCCGGCTCCGTTGATGAAACGTAGCTCCCATCCGCATGCCTCCCGGTCTTATTCCTTCGGGTTTACACTGGATATGGGGTGTGTGGTTGGAGCTGTGGGTGGTGCAGCGCAGGCGTCCTGTGGCTTGCCACAGTGACAGGCAAATCCGAAACCGGATGCCGCCAACCATATATATATATATATATATATATATATATATATATATATATATATATATATATATATATATATAATTTAACAACAGTCTATATACTTGACATTGCGCCATCAAGAAACCATAGAATGAATGCGCATATTAAGTACGAAGCTCGAAAGTTAATAATACACAATGAGAAATTTTTTGGTTTTTCATACGCCGTTTTGTTTTTTGTCAGTTTAATGATTTCGGTTTTGAGATATAGAAGCGGTGCAAAAACTCATGCAAGCTTTCCACTATTTGCGATTACGCGCCATATCCTCAATAGTCTTCAGTCGGCGAAACTCTTCATCTCTGACTCCCCAACTCGGTAGAGGTAGGGGGCCAACATCATCATCATTATGCACGTTAGCTGCAGGTGGAAAACACCTCAGCTATTGTGCCGCAATACAAAAAATAAGAAGAAATGAAAAACAACTGTGGCACGTCGGTTCAGCCGAAGCAACAAATGGGCATCGTTCCAGAGAACTAACAGCCGGCTATCGTGCCGCAGAGTTAGACTATGTCTAACGAATGAGAACGTGATTGGAGTGGGAGCCTAAGCGGGAGGGGGATGGGCAAAGGAACTCACAAAACAACCGCCATTGGGGCCGGCTCCTAGCCATATCAGCAAGTGTGCGCAACCAAAGGTGTTCCTCGTCCTTAGGACTCTAGCCAGGCAGTCGGGATGCACCAACCGACGCCAGCTTCGAAGTGAGGGTTTTCATTTCTCTCGACCAAGTCATCACTTGTCCTCCCCTCCTCATCTTCCAACCACACCCCCGGCGCGCAAACAATGCACGTCGCGGGAGTCGGTGTGCTGGTAGGTGCAACACGTGGCCCAGCCATCGGCGTCTGTGCATGATATAATGGTGCTGAACGGTTCACTAGCTCTTCCTGCACCAATAGCTATACTGAAAGTCATCACTTTGATCTTTTGTCGCTTTGTGGTAGACTAGCCACCGCGCGATTTATTCCAGGGCGGCCCTCCGTGAGCGAATAGAGTACGCGTGGTAAACGCACGAGCGGCATGCGAGGGAGGTGACCTAGCCACCGAGGATGAAGGAGGGCCACTGGTCGGACACGAGCGAGACTGTCATCAGAGATTGATTCAAAGAAATTATTGATGAAGATAGGATTGGTGTGTGATGGCGGTGCGCAAGAAGTCATGAAAACCAGAGCGTAAGAGTATGGTATATCCGCAGTAGTAGTTACGAAAATGTGCTAGTTCGATCGCTTGGCACATACTCCATTGTTGTACGTGCCAAAGCCCACGTGGTTAACTCATGATATTCAACAAACAGAGCCCTGATCACCTACTGCAGTTTACCGAAGCCACGAATATTCGACGGCTCGAACGCAGCTGGTGTGTGGAGATCGAGGTTGATGAGTTATTCCGCTGCACAGGCAGTGATGAAGCAATGTCATTGACAAAACGTTGGCGATGGTATGTCATTTATTGCTGGTCAGGGTCCTGCACAGTAGGACGCGGTCACCAACCTTACCATGGCAAGTCAAGACTAACCACGAATTCGGTCTGTTCACATCAAGTGAGTTCGAACTGCCGAATAGCTGACGCTTCAGAAAATTGCAGTAGGCGAGCAATGCTCTGTCTTGTCGATTGTGGATGAATCACGGAGGCTTTGACACATAGGGCAGTCGAGTATGTACCAAGTGATCGAGCCAGCATACTTCCGGGTGCGCAGTTTTCGTGTCCCTTTTTCCGATTACCATTTCTCGCGTACCCAGGCGCCGTACGCGAGCGATCAGCTGTCATCCACTGGCAGCGTCCAAAATGTTTGCCATTTAGCTTCATGACCCTGGACTGTGTACGCACAAGAAATTATTTTGAGCACTCAATCTACCCTAGCCCCATATCATACGGACGCATGGTGTGGGCACAGGCATACACATTTGGTCGCTTTGGAACCCATCTCTTAGCTCGGTAACCCTGACTATTTAAGCCACTGAACTAGTACTCTTATTCGCTGTGTACGCGCATGTCCTTCATTCGTGGTGTGTTGGCTTGATGTTGACGGACCACTGAAAACCACCTTGTTCGCTAACTTGTTTCCGATGCCAGTTCTGTTCCGCCCGGCAATCCGCGTTGATCGCCTCACTTTCTACTGTTAACTCCTCAGCGCCTATGCTACCTACATCATGTTATCCGCAGCCCTGTCTATTGCACTCATCATCGTCATCAATGCACGTTAGATGATGGCGCGAAACACACCTCAGCTAATGTGTTGCAATACAGAAAGAAACGATACCAAACATTACACTACAAATTTAGTATGAGATCGTAATTTGAGGGGGAATCTAAAGGCGTGGGGATGGACAAAGGAACTCACAACACAAGCGCCGGCTCTTCGCCATATCAGCAATTTTGTCCAACCAAACGTGTTCATTGTCCTTGGGACCCCAGCCAGGCAATCGGGATGCACCAACCGACGCCCGTTTCGAAGTGTGAATTTTCATTGCTCTCGACCAAGTCATCGCTTGATCTTTCCTCTTCTTCCGACCACACCCCCTGCGCGCAAACAATGCACTTTGTGGGAGTCGATTTGTTCGCATGCGCAACATGTGGTCTAGCCATGGGAGCATGGTGGGCGCACTGAATCGACAGACGCGTTGAGTTACATCAGTACGCTCCGTGTTCGCGTCAACGCTCTTGCCCCGGGTTGCTGGGTAGCCCACCCCCTAGCAGTATTCCGCCCATGTACGTCCGACTGCGGTTGCATGCACTCCCGGTGCGTTGCTACCTTATTCTCCCATGAAGGATCTGATTCGACCCTATCGTTTGATTGTCGACTTTGCTTGAGATGACGCGGCCAGGAATACACTGCACTCTCGTGTATTCAGCCTCATAAATCTACGCTGATGTTCGCACTTGTCTATCCTACCGTCTTCTGTTTCAATCCTGTTTCAATTTACCGTTTGGTTATTTTCTTCTGCTCGTGAACTCATGGCCGTAGATGATTCTCATGCCTCACGGGACAGGTGAAATAATAAGCATTGCAGCCGACCGTTCCGAATGGAAGCTGGTCATCGAACTGCTCCTAGTAGTTGTCCCATTTGAATCTCGCACTTTTCCGTTTCCACTAGCTTTCAATATTTAGTGGAACGACTACGATGGGCACCGAAGTGCAGTGGATCCAGTTGCTACGACTCACCTCGAAGGAATAAAAAGTAATAAGGTTGAACGCAGACAGAAAACAAAAATATGTGATCAGGACAGAAGTGTGCAAAGGTAATCGAGATGGAAAAGTACCAGCTAGATGTAAGAAATCGAGTGCAGAAACGTCACTGACTTACCGACTGGATCATGTCAGATTGTTTCCAAGCACTGGCGTGGACCACCCTGAGGCCCCCATCCATGAAGACGGCATGCACTAGCCTGACCAAGTCTCTCAGTCAATTAATTCATGCCTCTAAGCCACCTCACCGACTGACCATCTCGCGCTTTCGTCCGATTTGTTGCAGCCACGGCGCATAGTGCACGCCGAGAAAGCCGATCAAAGGTCATACGGAGGACGTGGCTTAGCCAACGTAAGCGATTACGATTCAGCAAACACTCGAGTGAGTTACTAGAATGCATCTTGCTAAACACCAACTGGTAGACCACAGCGTTGCTCCCCCGGTGGCCTAAACAGAGGTGAGGAATACTCCGCAAGTACCGGTGATCAAACACGGGCAAGCGTTTAATGTCATGAATACGAGCTGACCAGTAAAAATCGGCCTTATCGCAGTGTTATACACTCTACTTTCCAATGACATGTGCATACCCCGACGTCTCCATAGATAACCGAGCCTTTAAAAAAGCCACACAAGGTTTGATGATACTCGACTTAAGCGCATCAGTGATGTGACCACCAGAAGTGGCTATTCGCTGATATCTAAAGCCGATGGTGGCCAGTCGGTGACATGGCTTAGAGGCATGAAGTAATTGACTGAGAGACTTGGTCAGGCTAGTGCATGCCGTCTTCATGGATGGGGGCCTCAGGGTGGTCCACGCCAGTGCTTGGAAACAATCAGACATGATCCAGTCGGTAAGTCAGTGACGTTACTGCACTCCATTTCTTACATCTAGCTGATACTTTTCCATCTCGATTACCTTTGCACACTTCTGTCCTGATCACATATTTTTGTTTTCTGTTTGCGTTCAACCTTATTACTTTTTATTCCTTCGAGGTGAGTCGTGACAACTGGATCCACCTCACCTCGGTGCCCAGCGCAGTCGTTTAACTGAACTGGATGGCATCAAAGTAACTGAATCCATAACATCTTGGCATTCATAGCTCTGGACCACTGCACTTACTGTCCACTTTTGCTGGGTTGTTGAGTCTTTTTCGATAGGTTTTGCGCTCAACTTCCGATTACGGTTGTTATTTTTGTTTTCTAATCCCGCTTCTTTCTACTTTCCAGTTATTTTTGACCACAGTGATGAAGCTCACTCGATCTGCTGAGCCTTCGATGTCAGCCCACGGATGTGTCCTCAAAAACGACGGATAGTCTTGTTTTAACCTGATGTCGGTGCAAAGTAGATTGGAGAATGTGAACGAAGGGAATGTGTTCGTTTGCTTTTGTCTATTCTGGTGGATCATGCTTCTTGGTGCGCACGCGGATGGCATTCTAATTCTTCCTTATTGGGCTCTCTTTACACCGCTCTGGGTGTGGAAACTTACTGTGATTTTTGGTTGCACAATTGGTCTCGCAGTTTGGCTCCGGCAGCGAACTTTCACTACACGCATTGGGTCTCTGTACGATTACAATGATCCTGTCTTTCCTCACATCCAAGCCATGTGTGTTACCACATTCTTCATCCTACTCCTCTGCTGTTCCGAAATCCTTTTATGTTTGCATTTGTGTGTGCCCTCGTTGCAACTTGCCTATTTGACTATTTTGACTCCTGTGCTTCTCGTTGGTCTGCTAGGCACGTTCGGGTTCTTTTTTCTGATGATTGACTCACGATCCATGTTTTTTTGGGCCAATCGGCGTCGTGCGCGGACACTTCCTCAGTCCAGATTGGCTTTTGGACCGGAGAATCCTCTCGAATACAACACAGCCTTTACTCACCCGCATCGCGCTTGTTCTTTCACACTGGGACTGTTTATTGCAGTAAATCTGCTACAGTTGTTCTTTCTCATTTCCCGTCTGGACAATTGGATTAGATCCAGCTGGGTGGTAACCTTCATTCCCACTTTTGTTCTTCTCGGTTTGGGTTTCATCTTCTGTGCCATCGGTTTGATTGTCGCACTTATGCGCTATTTTACCGCCTACTTTATTCCATTAGATCAGCGCAGACTACCCGTTTACTACTACGCAGCACATATCTTTATCGACCTACTATTATTCACTGCTGTGGTGTTTTTGGTGCTCCGACTCGATCGCTATCTACCTCCATCTCAGGTCAGCTATTCGCTTATTTGCACGCCTGTGCTCGTGAGTCTGATCATTTATGCAGCAAACTCACTGTGCCACGGACCAGGCAATCCTTGCTGGTTTGGTGTCAATCGTAACATACTTCTCGCTCTGTTCGAAACTTGTCCCGCTCTGCAGCTATGCGCCAACACTTCAGTCAGCCCTACCGGCCTGTGGAAGTCAACAGCAAACGCCGTCCACACTGACAACAACCCGACGGGAGGCGATTCTGATGCTTCCCATCACGCAGAGGAAGAGTCGACTTCGGAATTCCAGTTAGTTCTATTGCATTGCTTCTCCCACTACTGTTTCTGTTGATCGTTTTTCTCCACCTTTTCCAGCACATCTTCCTTCAACCGCTGCACTTTAATACCCCGTGATGATAAATGTGTTGTGCGTGATTGCTTTACGAATTGAAATTTGAGACATAAACGTTTATGCACGTCACTGAAATCACACAAATCGACCCTTCAGGGACAATCGGTTTATTTAACAAGGATGATTTGGCGATAGTGACAACATTGTCTGTCCACAACTCGATTCGATATGCAGAGTTCGTCTGCTTCCATTAATCCGTAGAAGTACATCCTTTGGCTCAGTTACACAATCCATTATAATGTAGTCAGACGTCAATCAGTCAGCGGAACCTGGTAGAGAAACGATTGGGCCTTGTGGTAACTACCATGACTGCCTTGTTCGGTAATATTTGATGCAAGACGGAGGTTCTCAATGGCTCCATGTCTAACTGGGACTAACCCAAATTCATGTCTTTTTAAGTTTCAACTTGACAGGTGGATCATATCACATTTTAATTCGTGTGACACCTTGATCTAGTGCGGGCTACAATCTGATGTCAATGTTGCCCGCTCAAGGGCTTCTGTACGCCCCCTTGTCCTGCTGTCGCCTTCAGTCAGGCACACTGAGATTCAGACAAGTCATCAATTTTGATTCACGGACAGCGGCAACACCATGTGGCATCCAAGTCGCAATGCTTGAACACTGGTAGCATTATCGGTACTGGTGAATTGGTCGAGATATGCTATCGCGCAGAACGGGCGGCCAAGGGGACAATAACTAGTAACACACGACTGACCACCTGGTGGTGATTCCACATACCCGTTAATTCTCGCTTACCTCGGACAAGAGACGACCGGACCGGCTCTGGTTTACCTTCCGACAAGGATAGTCTGCAGTTAATATAGGACACGAAATCTTCAGCACACATCAACAATAAATCATCACTGTCCAACTGTACTTTTAACTTCTTTGTTAAAGTTAGCATAGCTATAGTTCCCGTTCTACATCCACTGGTTTTTACCTAACCGAGCTTATGAATAGCAGTGGACTTAATCGCACCATTTCCCTGCTAACTTGAAAGTTGCTTACTCCATCTCCTTTCATTTTCTTTGTGTCATCTTTATTCCATCGCTAATGTAAGTCTCGCTTGGGTACATTTTCACTCTAGAATGATTGACCACTGATTTGGTGCAATGCAGTCTCTTTATTGCACCTATCTTTTATTGGGTTTACTTAACTCGGTTGTATTTCGCGATTACTTCACGTGTTGCACACTACACTGTTGTACTCATCGTGACCTATGATACCCTTGCTACCTTCTCAAGTGGAGTCTAGTACGGTGACATACCGAGACAGAGCTGCGGCATCTTCTTCGTTTTATTATTCCTTCATATCATATCACTATGTAAGGTCCATGGTATTAGTCACCAGACTATGCTATATACGTTCTGCTCCTTGAAATCGATTTGTATATTACATGACCCTAGCTTGACCAGCTGCTCAATGCTAACTAGCACAACGCTTGGAGAGCCAGTGCATCGCAGGATAAAGGTTCAATCCATCCATGAGCTCTTTCGTAGTTGGCGTGCGCGCTGAGTTTCCGCGCAAATCGAGCTGTTGATACGGATCTATGCAAATTATTGAGTATGTTTCCTGTTCGGTGGATACGTGTGAATCAAAAGGTTACTAGCGCTTAACCGCTTACAGCTCCGATAAACAGTGCTAAGTTTGACCTTCGGAACACAGTGCTCAACGATTGTTCCTCATATGACCACGTTTGACTATACATCCGCAGAGAAATCGCCCTGAAAAATCCGTGGCAAGTGAACTAACCCGACAATTAACTGACCAGCGACTATCATGATGTCTATAGTTCATGTTCCGCTCCTCAAGTTAGTAATGAGACTGAGCATAGCTATATTTCCCGTTGTTCACTAGCTATACCGAATCTACCTGCGCTTATGAAAACGCAGGTACCAAGCGGATTGAAGTTGGAAGCGCAGACGCTTACTATAAGTTGAATTGGACATGGCCAAACGTCTGGGTAGACTAAGAAGGTCATGCCAACCGTAATGGTACGTTAGTGTCGCATAGCGACAACTGTTTAGGAGCGCCGGATGGCTGCACCCGAGACGTACGATGTAGATCGTTGCCAAATAGCTTATGTCCACAGCAGAGCACACAGCGGTATGTACCAACGGTTGAGTATTTGGATGACAGCCATGTTATTCCTTGGGAATTTCCAAACTATTGTGAGCACTGGGAAGCCGCATGTTTGACAATGAGCAGCCGAACTTAGTTGATGTAATATTGCGGTTGTTGTCGCGCCGTATGCGGCGAATTTGTGATTTTACCACCTGTCAATGCTTAAGATTGCGCAAAATACCTTTGAGAATCCGTACGAACTTCGGACAGCAGATAATCGAACCGGTCCAGTTGTGGTGCGCTACTAATAAGTACTATGGTTAAACGAGCAGGCGCGACGAATTCAGCGAATGGTGGATCACCGCAGACGACGGGCACGTAGGGCACAATACAACCAGCCATGGAAGCGGATGACGCTGGAGTTTCGGGCCAATACCACATTATCACGGCAAACTGAGTCGATAGCACATAGCGGAGCGTAAAATCAAATGCGATCACTAATGAAGTGCGCATACGAGTTCGGTTGTTCTATGTTATTATCATGAATACGTTCATTCTGTAATATACAACTCGTTCGCCTTCTCCAAACAGTCTTAGGTGGCGGTCGGCGGCACGGAGAGCCTGAAGTTAACACCCCATCGCATTCCCACTCTGTGCGATCTCCTCCATAGGAGGCAACGCCTCAATACACACTATTTTATTGTACCTATTATTTAGTTATCATTCTACCTGGTAACCCTACTGGTGGCAGTTGCTTCATGATTTCTATATCGGTGTCGTTCAACTATTGATGCCCAAGATTTGAGGCTGTCATTTATGTTCACGTCCGAAAGTTAAAGAACGCATCGACAGTTTGTATTGGGTACTTATTCTCGTGCGTGCGAAAATGGCTGTTAGCCTTACCGATGCACGTTTGTAGTACTATTGTTCATGAGGTTTACTGTGTCTCTATCCAGTTTGTGGCAGTTCATACTTAGGTTTGGACAAACGCATGTGTATTTTTTATATTCGAACTGCCATTGGACACGAAGGACGCCAATCCATGTAGATAGGCATACCAACTGAATTCGTCGAGGACACCCATACAGCTTTTCTATGGCCAACTTAGTGCAAGAAAGCGGCACTCGGGCAAACCGAAAAGAACACCACCAGTACATGAACAAGGTGACTTTATCACGAACTAATGTTGATTTCAGGTGTTGAGAATCAAAGCCAGAGTTGATTGGTACGAATTCCGTGGGCTAATCAAGAGGGCGGTTGTCTAAGTGATGAAAAAGCCACTATTGCACGTGGAGGAGAAGCGCGATGCCACCTCTCCCATTCGATTAATCAATTCAAACCAATAAGACGGCAGATGTGGTACGTTTGCTTGCGTGTTGTGTTCTTTCATTTCAGAGGTTAAATGCTGATTGATCTCCACGGTGTGTCTGCGTCTGATGTGAATTTTGGCAAGGTGCCTACCTGTCTATTACCCATCACCTCGTTCATGCTGGTTCCATGAGACAGTTGGTCGTTGCTGGAGGGGACGGGGTGCACCGCCCTCGTGACAGTGCTAGGTTCAAAGAGTGGTTGCATTCAGTGTAGAGTGCACTACGGTTCAGTCACCGCCTTGTGTTTGTCTGGTACGCCTGATTTCTCAATTAGGCAGCAATGCTTCTGTTCTGCTTGTTGTAGGAGTGTGGGCCGGCTCCGTTGATGAAAGGTGACTCCCATCCACATGCCTTCCGGTCTTGTTACATCTGGTTTACACCGGATATGTGTGTGCATAAAATTGTGGGTGGTGCATCGCAAGCCACCCATGGTCCCTCTGTAGGCGCAGGCGTTCTGTTGCTGTCCCGTGGAATCCACATTGGCAGGTAACTCCTTCCATATATATATATATATATATATATATATATATATATATATATATCCGGATTCGGATTTGCCTGTCACTGTGGCCAGCCACAGGACACCTGCGCCTACAGAGGGACCATGGGTGGCTTGCCCTGCACCGCCCACAGCTCCAACCACACACCCCATATCCAGTGTAAACCCGAGGCAATAAGACTGGGAGGCATGTGGATGGGAGCCACGTTTCATCAACGGAGCCGGCCCACACTCCTCACAGCAAACACAAGCACGCTGTATTTGGGGAATCAATCGCACACAAGGCGGTGGCTGGACCGTAGTCTGCTTCACACTGAGTGCATGGAACCACTCTTCGAGCCTAGCATGACCACAAGGACCGTGCACTCCGTCCGCTCCAGCAACGACCAGCTATCTCCTAGAGACAGTATGGACGAGGTAGTGGGTAATAGACAGGTAGACACCTTGTCAACAGGCAGATCAAGCGCAGCCGCACCGGGGATGTCAAACAACAGCCAATCACTTGAGATGACAGTAACAAATAAAATATATCTGTTAAAGAATGCGGCTATGCAGACATAACTCTTCCTGAAATTAGCATATGAAGTATGTTAGCTATGAATCTGCGATAGGTAAAAGATGTCCAGAAGTGACTCAGAAAATGCTACAAACGCAATCAAGTTAACGAAGATAAGCGCAGTTACCCTAAGCAACGTGGACATTTAATAGAAGATTATTCCGGTAGGCAGAACAAATCAAATGAAGTGGAATGAAATTTATCCAGCTTAAAGAGACCTAGTTTACGTGTAAGTTGGTTTAGCCCAACTGCGGTGAAGAAGCATCAGGAATGCAACGTCAGCCTCAGCATGGGGCATATATATATATATATATGTGTGTGTGTGTCCGTCGTACAAATTGCAACATGGCAAATGTCGGTGTGCTGGCATGCGCGCAACACGTGGCCCTGCTGAGCTAGAGTTGTCCCACAACTACTTGGTTATGTAAGATGCGCACACGCAGGTAATCGACTTTGTATTTTGTTTGCCAGTACTGCACCGAGTTAGGCGAAAACCCGAGGCGAAGGAGAATGAGAAAACTCACCGATAAACTGTGACAGTGTTTATGCTCTGCACGGATTGAGTACTCTGGATTAGCAGCTACAAAGGCGGTTTTTTCTCCTATCGCATATGTCACAGTCACGTCGCGCTCATACATTGTTTTTTTTTGTCTCGGCTTTCCAACTATTCCATCTCTCTGTCTTCAAGATGTGTCAGAAAGGTTCTAAGATCGGTGCCACATAAGGTCTATTTCAAACCCAAGCTTCTTACTAGAAATTTTCTCCTCCAGACTAATCCCCTTGGAGTCCAATATGCTTTCCCATCCTGTTACTTCTGGACGGATTCTTCCGGGATCCTACGCAACCTCCGTCGTCACAACCTTTTTCTTCTCGTCCACATCCTCAAAATGGTTCCTCTTGATATGACCCTCTTGAGCCTGGGGAAGAGTAAGAGTCTGATGGGTAGTGAGGTTGCTCCAGCGTGGCGGTGTTATTCTCGGCCAGGAACTCTCGGATGCTCAAGACATTAGTGAAGAAGCCAGGAGTAGCCCTGCCACAACTCACATCTTCTCACGCACTGAACAAAGCAAATGTCACACTACTTCTTTGTAGACATGTTGCCTGATCGTCTGGCTCTGTGGCAACAACTTGCAGTGAACAGTCACCCTCACATTAACGAATGTGATCAACGTAACTTTGGACTTCCACTATCATGTTTTTCTTGTCTTGGAGACCTCGAACTCTTCAACTGAAGGCTCTGGTCTTTGGTCTTCCCGTCGTAATCGAAAATCCATAGGTCATCCTCGGTGACGGCTCCCGACCTGGCTCCGTGTGAATTTTTCCTTTTCCACAACCTCAAGGAGATGATCACACGGACTCGTTTTGAGGACTGGACGACGAAACTGCGGAGGACCTCAGAAGAATCCTTTCAGGAATGCACGCGAACATGACAAAGAACGATAGAAAAGCGCATTGGACTCTATACCGATTACTTTGAAAGGAAAGCTTGCGTTTGAAATACCTTTCGTGACACCAGTCCCGGATCTTTTCTGATACTTCTCTTATTTGTCTGTCATAACTGTTCTATCTTAACTGATGTATTTGATGCTTTCATTTCTACTGTATTATTTCTATTCTTTCCATCTGTGTCGAGGCGGCTTGGTGCACGACCAAAGTTTGACGAACTGGTCTGTTTCGAGCTTCCATCTGCTCCCACTGATCGACGATTTGGCACCATAACTATTGTTGTTTAATTTCTTCCTTCAGCAACTGTTTCATCCAAAAGTACCAGTCCAGATGCTCCGAAGCATACAGTCCTAGCCTGTACCATCTAACAAGGGCATTCTAATAATGAAAGATTGTGTAAATCACTGAGTGTCATTCGCTTTCCTTTCACTCCCGGTAAAGATGAATAGCGATCACACTCGATCGGTTACTTTTCAATTTCTCTCATTTTCCGACTGCTATCCGACCCCGCATATCCCTATAGTTTGTTCAGTGTTCAAAATAGCCCGGGGCCATCGCGGAAAGTTGTCGATTCGTCGTCGTACAGCTAGCTATACCTGTTTTCATTTGTCAGCTGCCTGTCATCAACTGTGCATCCGATCATCATAAGTAAAGTATTTTGAAATTCACTACGCATCATCACCACACACGCACACACATGGACATTTCGGCGAGATCTTTTCCTCTTTGCTGTCTATGCACAAGAAAATCCCATCGAGTTAATACGGGATTACGTATCGCCATCTGATGACGGGAGGTCTATCATGGGGTCTCACAATCCCATCAGTTGGTATTACGTTTCCATCTACTTCCGATACAATTTATCGTGATGCTTACTATGACGCTTAGCATCATGTTACGTTTTTGGTTTTATATTGTATTCTATAATGTTTATATCTCGTTTTCTCTCTCCATACATCTCCACATTTTTGTTAGCGGCACTATAGCTGAAGCATGTTTATTACCTTCAGCTGACATGTACTGATCATGATGATGCGCGAATGTTCATTTAAACTGGTTATTCACCTGAGAGTGCGTCATATGAGCAACCTAGTTTACTATCAATAGCACATTAATTTGACCCCTTGACGCATTCGCGTTTGTGTTGTTCCTCTTCCTGTCGCACTGTTTTCGAGAAGTTTCTGTCTTCACTCTGTCAGCTTGATGTTTATAATTTACCCACCCACATCTCTGTCTCTTCTGTTTAGTTCCCATGTGGACACAGACGTATGCTCTGTACCCTTTGTGGGGTCAGATTATCACCTGTACAACAACGAATGTCCGCCTACTGTGTACGTTCCTCCAGAAGACCCACCGAAGCCGTCCAAAGCGATAGCAACATATGCGGAAGCGTTGCCTGAGGATGATGCGACCGCAGCCCAATGTAAAGGCGTTTGCGAGGATTGGAACCAGCCACTTTTGTTCACTGGACCTGTTGTTGGAAGTTTGAGTCCACGGGCAGTTCCTGGCAGCCTGCGTTCCCCAGACTGATTGTTCAACCAATTGATGTGTACTCTGGCTGTGTTCGCTACAGGCAATCTATTTTTCATCTGTGTTCCTTTTCCCCTCATTTTCCATTTGTGTCCTCATCACCGCCATTATCATCGTCGAGCTGTGCACGCGTGTGTGACGAATTACGCTAGTCAAGTCGCTGGACGGGTTGGCACATGCATCCAGGATGCTCTACCACCACCACCACCACCCAGCACAATCCCCAAGCGCCATTCCCTTAATATGCACCACCGACCTTTCCGCCTTCTATCCCAGAGTGTTCACCTAGTTTCTTTCCTCTTTTCAAACCCGAGCCGTTATTGCATTCACGGATGCTTTGTCTACAACTCTCATCACACGGACAATGCATCGCAATCTGTGTTCATTCTTTCCCCATTTGTTTGTTCTTCAGTGCGTTGTGTTGACCGTTAATATTTCCTTGTGTCACCCTCATGTTCACATACACATCGGTTTGTCACTCGAATTGTCTATTTTTCGATTTAATGATGAGTGGCATTCACGTGTTTATTTTCTTACCCTGTCCTCTATCGATTTCCTGATTGTTCCACCTGTTTGTATGTGTGCGCACATACCATCCAGTTGTATCTCACGTTTAGATTTATCCATAGAAATGTGCTTCTTGTATTCCGCGTCAATAAAACCCCAGAATTTGGCCGTGATGTGTCTTCGGTTCATCCATTATGACACCATCTTTGCTTTACGGATCCCCTATAATTCACCAATGAACTTTACAGAAGCCATTAAAAGTAGGACGTAGCGAACAAGCTTGTTTTCAGTGGATCACCATCAGGCTAGTACAACCATAACTATGTAGGTCAAAAATGAACATGTGAGTTACAGGCGTCAATAAATCAAAATATTACATGCAAGGTGTTCGTGAGTAGCGCAAGGTTCGTAGAAAGTAGAAGTCACGATTAAACTGTGCACAACAATCTGCCTCGACGGGGAATCGAACCCCTGTCCCACGACTTTCCGGTCCGCTGCTCTACCACTGAGCTACCGAGGGTTGACGATCCCACGGAAATTCGTGGGACCGGGGTTCGATTCCCCGTCGAGACAGATTATTGTGCACAGTTTAATCGTGACTTCTACTTTCTACGAACCTTACGCTACTCACAAACACCTTGCATGAAATCAAAATATCTCATCAATAAGGCTGTGATTAGCCCGACCTGTGTGAAATCGAGGGTAATGGCGTGATAGGTCTTCTTACTTGTGTTAGTCTGGGGCCAGGGTAGACAGAGTGTCTACACCAAATTCTTCTGTGCACGCAACTCCAGGTTATGGATCCGAATTGCTATTGCCTTTGCTGTCGACAGCAGACGGCATCTGATAGCTCTCATGTGGCGTCTTGGCACACAGTAGATCCGTTGGAATGAATTGAGTTTATTTTGTGGTTGAAATCCACTAACTCTGACAACACCGCACTCGTCACATTCTTCCTCACAGCCAAGCCGGACAATGCTCTCGAGCTCCTACGGACAGTGGCCTGGTCGTTTTTCCAATATACGTTGCTCGACACGAACAAGAAGAATTGTACACACAAGGAGATTTGCCATCGGGATATCCTCTTGGCGCACAATTAGTGTTGAGGTGAAGCTTACGCGTAGTCGGCCGCAAACTACGTTTTGGCAGTGGCTAGGGTAAACCTTCGGTTGGTTAGCTACGATATCGCGTCACCCTTAAACGGTACTGATAAGTATATTGGGCGATTCTAGGCGGGAGCATATTTCGTTTTCGGTACTTGCGGTTCCATATGCTTCTGGATGAATTTTTCTAGGTATCCATTACATTCGAACACTGGATGAAACTTCACTCCTCAGAAAGCCTATCTTCTGTACATATTCGTCTCGTTGTCTCAGTGAGACAACGGACTAGATTACGTTTTTGGCTGATTGGCACGAAACTATGAAAGTGGGTGCATTACCCATTCCAAGTTCCCTTTCTGTGCACTCTCTTCCGCATCGTCCTGTCTGCTACCCTGTTAATCTGGATGTCTAAAAAGGCCAAGCAGTCGTCACTTTCTAGTTCGAGGGTAAACGTTATGTTGTTATGCGCGAAGTGGGCCAGCAGATCTTCAGTACACGCCCCATCGTCCGCAACACAAATGATGTCATCTACATATCGACCATGATAAACCAAGCTGTTGATGGACTCCTTCAACTGGTTGCTCTTCAACTTGCTCATGAACACGTCCGCGAGTAACGGGTCTAACGGCGAACCCATGACCACCCCACCTAGTTGTCGATACAGTGATCCACTAAACTGAACCTGAATGTTTCCCGTGCATGTCAGCATGGTAGGATACCGACGTTTATGTGCAACTGGATGAACTCACATAGATAGTCTACAGTCTCTTCCAGTGGAACATTGGTGAAAAGAGACCACCACCAATGAAAACATTTTCCGCTCGGTTAGTTCAAGGTGTCTCACTGAGTCGAGAAACTCAACAATGTCCTTGGGACTGTACCTGGCAATGGCTTTTCGGACTGGTTCCAGCCGTTTGACGAGCCATTTGGCGGTCGAATGGTACGTCCAGTTGCACATATCTAGTATTGGTCTTAGTGGTAACCCTTCCTTATACACCTTGGGCAGGCCGTAAAGTCTTGTAATCACCATTCCACTGCCTGGTGTACTCGAATACATCAGTCAATGATATTTTCTTGTTTTAAGTAACGCAGTAGTTTCGTTATGGACTTCTCAATTGCCTGCGTCTTCTCATTCTTGTTAGGCACTCTTCGATCCATCAGTAAGGATGGCATGCATCTTTCTGATATAGTCCGCGTCTCTTTTATCCGGTCTAGACCACAGTACGTTCTCGTTTCGCTCGAGTTTCTTTGAGGGCGTCTAGATGTTCCTTCTTCAAATTTTGCTTGGCATATGGTTTATCACTTAGATATTCGTAACAGATGTTGACAAATGTCTACTTATACTGCTCAGCTGCCACATCTGACGACGGCTTAAGTGTAGCTGCTTGGGAATAGAGATTTTCCAATTGAACCTGTAAATCTAACGGTTTAACGTGATTCCGTGGGCAACAGAATCTCGGACCGAGCGAAAGAGCCTCGAGTAGAACCTAGTCTAATTGCAGTGAGGAGAAATTGTGTTGTGTTTCCCTGTCCGGAAAGCACACCCATGCCTTCCAACCGTTACCGTCGAGTATTAGTTTGCTTGTCGAACTGGACAATTTTGTTGCAAACGTTTCGCCGCCAACTGTGGTGACGTCTTCGGTGCCTGAGTGAACATCCTCAGTACGAACGCTGTCACCGGAACTTTGCCATGCTCGGCGAACAAGGTACCATTTGAACTGTCTGTCCGGACAACCGTTATATCAAGTCATTTTGGATTTTTCCCAAATTCGCCGATCGGTACAGATCATACCAATATGTCGTTAGTAATACTCTCGTTGCACTAACGCTTTACTTCCATGCGAGCATCAGGAGCGGCTGCATCGCATGCGCCTGCAGAAGATCGGACTAGCGAACTGTACATGCCGGCCGATGACGGAAAGGGCAAGACCCTCGCGATCTTCGCAGTATTCTAAGCCCACGCGCGACTGGTGGTGCTTGTGTGGCAGCGAAACTTGGGCACGCCGTGCTTCTGACGTTTTTTTCTGTACCTTACAAGCCAGATGCCCAACCCATTAGGTCGGTAGTCGTAATATACTCAAGAAACTTTAGAAGTGTTCCTAATTATCACCGATGTACTGACCATATAGGTATGCGCATCCTCAGATTGCGGGGCTCCTTCACACCAATTTTCCATGCTCATTAGTAGTGACACTTCTGCCAGGTGACCGACTGACAAATCCTGAGTATACAGGGGCGATATAGCTCTCTTTAGGTCGGACGCGTTTGCTACTGAGTAGACTACACGCTTCGGCACGTGTTTTACACCTTCCAAATGCAAAGTACTGTTGCCGGACTGGACCGATACGCCACCGGTTTTAGCTATCACCGAACATCCACTGAAAGTGCTGGACCGGTTCACCTACCTTGATATCTGTTTCACTTAGGTTGTTACCTCGCGCTTCAGCAAGGCTAATGTGACTTCCCATAGATTCGGCCATCTATGAAGACGGTAGGATATCACTGTGTCAGGGAATGTTTGGGTATATAGTACTGCGATAAGGCGGGTGTTAGCGTATGGATCAATGACCTGGCCACTTTGCAGTAAAGACGTTAAGCAATTGACCGTGTTTGATCACCGGTGCGTACAGTGTATTGCTCACATCTGATGGGAACATCGAATGAACAATGCTGAGGTCTGCCAGCTGGTGACTCAATCGAGTGTTTGTTTAAGTTCAACCACTTACGTTGTCTAGGTCATGTCCTCTGTATGCCCGTTGAGCGGCTTCCTTGGTGTGGCTGCACCAATTTGGGCGAAACCGCGAGGTGGCTGGTCGACGACTTGGCACAAAGATATGTAGTGGTTGACTGAGGTACTCGGTCAGGCTGATGCGTGCTGTTTTCGTGGATGGGTGCACCTGGATGGTCCACACCAATGGTTGGAAACTCTATCACAGATGGCGCATTCAGCGGTGTTTCTACCTTCAGTTTATTATATCTAGCCATTAATATTCCATTCCAATTAGTTTGCGCGCTTCTTGACTCTCTTTGTGTCCTTTTTGCGTTTAACCTATGTTATTTTCGCTGTCATTTATTTTTATTCTGGCTACGAGAGTCGTAGCAATTGGATCCGGCCCACTTCGGTGCCAGCATTTTAGTTGTTTGATTATACTGGGCCCTTATTGAACAGTCTCGCGGTAGTCCACCGTTTCGTCTTCCTAAGTGGCTGTCATCTTCAGTCGTCAAGGTACTAAGTTCGTTGCGTTTATTGCTAGTATCTGAGTGCTTCTCTAGCTCCATCTTAGCCAGGAGGATGGAGAGACAACAGACTGTCTGCATAGATCAAATATATGACCACTGCATGTCGAAGGTCTTTGGAAATGGGCCACTTTTTTTATCACAGGTGTCGATGTTTGCCAGATGAGCATATTGAGTAACATCGACGCTGCCTAGTTGCTACTTGGAAGCAGAACGCATCGGACTGTCTGCCGACTGACTGTTGTTTCTCAACGCTGTTGGACGAGATTCCATAATGACTTGGGAATTTTTCACGCTGACCAGTGGGTTGAGCCGTGCTGGTGTCATGCCTTCGCTGACGGAGACCGCATCAATGACCAGATGGTGTAGGCGACATGTGGTTGACGCTCTCGCGTTCGATCCATTTCCGCTGACTATTCACCGATCTTTACTACTTAATATGTTTCTGACTCATCCTTTTGAAGTGACATATTTTGTTTTTATATCCCCATATAAGTGTCATAAGAGCGCTGTACGCGCACAGTTCAGGCAGAGTGAAGATTTGTAACAAACTGTCACCGCTTTTCAATATCTCCAGCGGTGTGAAACAAGGTTGTCCGCTGTCAGCTTTCCTCTGTAACTTCGCAGTTGACGAAAGGTGGAAACTCCATTCACTGGGCCAGAGTGGAAAGTGTGGAGCTGCTTACAGGTGATCGAATTCTTAAATCGGAGCACGCGACAACATTGCCCTAGTCTGTTGCAGCTCCCAAACATGCCAAGTGGCACTGGGAAAATTAGCATTGGCTATCAGTCATTTCGCGCTGTGCTTTGCACCCTCGAACTACAAAG